TTGAGTTCTGGGTTAGGCATATGCTATACTCAGTGTTTGGGGAGTGCAGAATTCACTATTTCCTCATTTACCTTTTTCACAGACAGGGGCATGCTGTGTGACAATGTAATCCAGAGTTCCCCAGACCAGACAGTAGCGAGTGGCAGTGAGGTGGTACTGCTCTGCACTTACAATGTTAGATATTCAATCCAGATTTATTCTGGTACTGGATAAGGCCAGATCATTCCTTTCAGTTTATCCTTTTTGAGGATGACGCCAGATCTCAAGTTGCAGGTTTTGCTCACGATCGGTTTTCTGGGACGTACATTCCGACCAAGAAAACCTTTGACTTGGTTATCTCTATAGTGAGGACTGAAGACAGTGCCACTTACGACTGTGCCTTTAGCACAATGATGCAGGTGCCCAGGAAGTCTTACCACAAACCCCAGAGGCACAGCTCAGCAGAGCTACCTCTCACCACAGTCATGTCTGGGACTTGCCATACTTCTCTTAGCCAATTTGTGTTCCAGCCTGGCCTTTAGAAGTGACATAAAGCATCTTCTGAGAAATAAATGGCCTGGTCACATCAAGGGGAGCACCCTGGCTTCAGAGAAACAGAGCATCTCCTCGCTTCTGACTCAGTGGCCCCGTGTCACCTGAATGACTCCTGGTAGGCAAGGGAGAACTGCATGTTTAGGGAGCATTGTCTTTGTGTCCCCAGTGCCCTGGTCACCCTGAAACAGAGTGTGGCTTGACAAGCCTATACTGCATTTTCTGTGAGTGTTTCAGAATGCAGGTTCAGGTGCAGGTGAAGGGCCCATCTAAGGTGAGGCCATCAGTAGTGTATTTTAGTCCATCATTTGTCCATTATTATGAATTGGTCTGTTTTCATTATAGAATTAAATTAGGGACAGGCATTGTGGCATACGCCTGTAGTCCCAACACTTCGGGAGGCTGAGGCAGTCAGATCACTTGAGGTCAGGAGTTCAACACCAGCTAGACCAACAAGGTGAAGCCACATCTCTACTAAAAATACAAGAATTAGCTGGGTATGGTGGTGCGTGCCTGTAGTCCCAGCTGCTCAGGAGGCTGAGGTACAATAATCGCTTGAATGTGGGAGGCAGAGGTTACAGTGAGCTGAGGTGGTACCACTGCATTCCAGCCTTGGTGACAGAGCAAGACTCTGCCTCAAAAAAAAAAAAAAAATTAAGTTAGACACAAAGTTATTTACTTAAAAGACTTTTTTTTTTTTTTTTTTGAGACGGAGTTTCACTCTTGTTACACAGGCTGGAGTGCAATGGCGCGATCTCGGCTCACCACAACCTCTGCCTCCTGGGTTCAGGCAGTTCTCCTGCCTCAGCCTCCTGAGTAGCTGGGATTACAGGCACACATCACCGTGCCCAGCTAATTTTTTGTATTTTTAGTAGAGACGGGGTTTCACCACGTTGACCAGGATGGTTTCAATCTGTTGACTTTTAAGCAATTTACCTTTTTTTTTTTTGCATCTTTTTGTATCTAGCCATCTTTCTCCTTGATGTTCTTTGACACCTCCATTTTACTTAGTTTATTTGGAAAACATTTTCTTTTTTTTTCACTGAAGAGCACTGAGGCACTCCTAGAAAGTTGTGACTTCCAGAATCCCAGCTGCCAAGTTCCTGAGTTTGGAGCTCAGTGGTGTCTCCAGCAGAGAAAATTTCCTCTGGGGCAAAGTGACTACGTGATGTCGAAATAGATATATCCCCTCGGTCCCTGGGAATCAGTCCCTCATTTCTGTTCTCTTATTTACCTTAATAGAACTATTAGAGTTATTAGATGTAACCTTAGAAATGGAAGAGGCCTTACACATTATTTTATAGAAATGATACTGCAGTCCAGAGATGTGGTGGACATTCTCAAAGTCTTATAGCTGGCTAGTGACAGGCCCAGAGATGCAATGTCACATTGCTAGGGCTCTCTCCTGCAGCTGCACCATAGGCGGATTTATCAGCGCATGGTTTGGGCAGCAGTTTATGTGCTTTTCAGAAACAGTGGCCAAGAGCAGCCACTATGTGGAGCAATGGAAAGAACAGGGGATGAGGGAGCCAAAGGCCTTGGGCACGTGGCTTGGCTTTCTGGGGCTTCTGTTCCAATGCCTACTGAGTGTGTCACATGTTCGTCTCATAGTCCACATAGCATGGCCCCAGATCAGAAGGCAGCCATAATCCCTTGTGGCTCTTGCCTTGGTTCTTTTCTGGAGGCTCTTTCTGGTGTGAGAAATTCATGGTCCTGTGATATACTAGGATTTTTTTTTCCTGGCATAGTGGGCTGGAGGGTGGTTCATTTATATGCTAAATATGGGACAATCCTTAAGTTCATTCTGGCTGATACATTGACATCTCGTCCTTATTTGGGGATGCAGTATGCTCTTAGAGCAGGAAATTTGGGCTGAAAATCTTGAGACCTAGATTCTGCTCCCAGCAATATCCCTGCCTCACTGAATGACTATGGACATGGTACATACTTTTTTGAAGAGACAACATTTTTTTTAATCTGAAAAATGAGGATATGGTCTTTTTGTTCCTAACAACGTCAGAGGAAACACTAATATTACATGAGGTAACCTGTGAATGTTTTGGAAATCAGCATTCTTTACACATATAAGGCATAGTAGACATGATGGGGGAGCTTGCGGTCAGTCATGGCAAGGGGAGTTGTTGGCGATAGTCACTCTTTCACTTGTAATCGCACAAACCCCCACTTGATGCTCCACATAGGTGCTGAGGAACCACAATAATGGGTTGCTAGGGCTCTGCTAGCTGGGCAGTGATCCTGGAAAAAGCTGTGGCCTTCCTGAGGTGGGAGTAGCAGAGGTCACTGGCCACATCGCAGGTGCTGCTGTTGTTCCTGCTGTAGCAGCGACACCAGCAGAGGAAGCAGGAAACCTGAGGCTGGGTCTCCAAGGCAGGGGCTCTGTAAGCTTGGACCTCAGGAAACTGCGGCATGACCCATAAGTTCAGTTTGGCTTTTGGCTAACAGTGAGTTCACAGAGCTGACTTCCCCCCGTGGTGACCTGCAAAGAGTAAAGCCAGAGGCAAGGTGCACATAATGCAGTTTAATAAATGCAACTGAGGCAGGCGCTGAGAAGAAAGGCAGAAGACCATCAACACCAAAGTCCCAGGTCAGAGAATCAGTGTCCAATGGTTTCAAACACAGATTGGCAGGTAAAAGACAGTACAAATGTTCTTATAGGGAAAGATAGGGATCTCATTTCTATTCCTCCCTCCAAAAACACTTGCACAGTGACTTGCTTGAAAGCTGGGCTTGTGTCTTCTTTGTACTCTCAGTGCCTGGAACTCAGGGGGAGCTGATTTATGCATGTTAAATCAATTAACAGAAAGCAGTGTCTTTCCTCTGATCATTGCTAATGGATTGGAGAATATTTAGATGAGATTTTGGGAACCCCATTGCCTGCTCATAAAATATTAGTGAATTCAAATGTAATCTCATTTGTAAAGTACTAGGAGATGCAGAAAGTGCTGAAATTTTGTCCTCTTCCACGCCACGCAGAATCTCTAGTGTGGCTCCTGAAGTGAACACAGAGGGTGGGACAAGCCATGAGGACAGGAGGAAGAAGATGAAGCTGGTTTGTAGCAAATCTAGTGCTCAGTTGAGCAGAGCCTTCCATGTTTAGATAAAAGGGCATCTGCTCTTCTTCTCCCAGGCCTGTTTTCCTCATGAAGCATGGAGCTGTGAACCTATTGGCTCTTACTTTCTACTTCAAAAGGTAAAAAAAGTCAAAAGGAACAAAACATCATTTTCAAAGTGTATCGGTTGTAGGAGTAAAAAAATGAGTCCTATATCTTTTTATATCCTTCCATCCCTTTACAAACAGCATATAAAGCAGTTAGGACATAAACCCCCCTTCCCCAGGACTTTTAACTTCCCACCAAGCTGGAGATAAGCTGGGTTTGTGGCCTTCAAAGAAAAATTGGCTTGGCTAGCAGCCATTTTAACAAGGTCAACTTGAATCCCCAGGAAGTCAGAAGCTGAGGAGATGCATCTTTGTAACCTTTGGTTTCTTTAGGAGTGTGGCTTCCTTGTGCCAGTCAGCCTACAGGCGAAGATAGTTGTTACAGAATAGGCTGTCAATGCTAGGAGGAACCACAGGCGTCATGCAGTCTGGGGGTGGCCGGGACTTGCTATGCTGCACCATTGCAGGCATCACTAATCTATTGTGGCTCGTTTTCCATCTACACATGGCAATAGCTCAGCTAGTTCAGCTATCAGTGTTGGCACAAGCCATGAAACTCTTTTGTTCTCCTTTGGTTATTTCTAAAACTCATTTGTTTTACAGATGCAGAAAACCCAGGCCCAGAGAGATGGACCAACCTGGCTAAGGTAACATAGTGAGTTAGTGTCAACATCAGGACAAAACCCAAATCTTCTGACTCTTAGTGTAGCGCTCTTTTTATCCAGCCACACTGCCTGTGTCCCTGGGACTGTTAGTAAAATAACAGGTGATCTGGACACCCATTTGGCCATGACTGGGTGTCTTTACTGTCTGGGTCAGATCAGTCAAGTACTCTAAGTTAACGGTTGTTCCTGGAACAGGAGCTGGGATTGATGAGCATTTGTGGGCATTGGAGAAGGAGTGAGGGGGAGGAGCCTCACACGAAAGCCCAGGCCCTGTATGAGATTAGCTGAAAAGGCAATGCAAGTAACAGGCAAATAATGGACATCTCAGACTAACTGTGTATGCATCCCCAGTAGCTAATAGTGAGAGCTGTTCACTACTGATGTGGTGTGTAGGTTCATTCCAAAGACAGGCCGATCCACACATAGACAGGCTGGTCCCATGATTAAGGAGTGTGAGCTGGCATTCCCTTTATCAGGACAAAGATAGGTTCTGCGTCCTCTGGATATTCTTCAAGTGAAGCTTTACTTATGGCCTTGCAAATAACACATGGCCTCTTGGTCAATGAACAAAATAGCAGTTAAAGAAGATGAATTCTCCTTATTTATCTTCGGTTTTCTCCCTGGGGTGAAGGTAAGGGTTATTATCTGGTATGTTAGAAAAATAGTATATTATACTACCTAACTGATTTCAGTCTGACTTAAAATGAAAGGATAACAGGAGATGGAGTGCATTTTGCTGAGTATCTGAGATAGCCCACTTTACTAATTCTAAATAGGTCTCTAGTTTCCCTTTCCAATGCTTCTTGGTTTCTTACAATTTCTAAACCTCTTTTCCCCATGTGCAGCGTAGTGTGGGTAGAGATAGGAATAAGAAGGGGCTAATTCTTACCTCAGAAGAAAAATAACTTGGCAGTCAAGAGAAAATTGATGGCGACACTCTTTGCCAACAGCATTCGTAGCTCCAGCACTGTGAGGGACATCATGTTCACCTTCTCGGCATGAACTATGGTTGAACAACAGTGAAGAAGGTGGCTTCAGGGAGAGACTAGATTCCCTTCCAGGAATTGGACCTGCAACACTGATACTAGCCAGCCCCACACCTGCCTCATTCTTTCCAGCCTGCAAGCTCAGCATGGTGCCAGACAGCCCTCAGAGACCTTAGGCTGCGGCTCACACCCAGCCAGGCAAACTCCGCTGGGAGAGGCAGAGGCTCTGCAGAACCGACTGAGCTCAGCATGGTTTGGGTTTTCTTTGGAAATCTGTTACTTTTTGGCCACAGCCGACGATTACAGAGTTTGCTTTAACCCTTGACTCTGAAGTTGGCCCTTTGATTTGAACTAACCTTTGGGTTCGTGGCAGCTCTTTGAAGATTGCTTTGTGTTTTCAGTTTCCATTGGTGTTAGGTTATCTGGAATGAACAGCAGTGGTCAGGGTTACTGGCAATGAAGAGGCTCACAGGACTGTAGGATTTTAAAACTGGAGGAGACATTAATGAGTGAACTGAGGACCAGAAGATGTGAGTTTGTTAAGGTCACATAGCTAATTAAACAACATGCTTCCCATTCCAGGCTTTTTCATTGTACCGTGAGGTCAATATCCAGGCACACCACTATGCGGGAAGAACTAGGATTCTTAGTCCCATGGTGGGCTGCGTTGCCCTTTGTTGGAATTTAGTACTGGATTAGACTGTGTATGGACTTTCAATCCCAGAGCCTAGTATGAAGGGGACAGTGGCTGGTAAAGAGGAGAGATGGGGATGAAATGAGATGGGCTTTATCTTAGATTTCATCTTAGGGATGCCAAGCATTTCCCTCCCTGGCCAATGACAGGCTATAGTTGGGCCTATGTCTTGTTTCCAGTATGATGCTATACTGAGAATGATTTGTCCATAGTTTACATCTCTAACTTTCCTTTTACCCAATTCTTATTCCCCATAATCTCCAGCCCCTTGAAGCCAGATATGGCCTACCTGAAGAATTTTTCTCCAATTCAAAGTCAGTGGAGTACACAATGGTATTGCTGTGTTGAACTGAACACGTCACTGAATTTGAATCTTCATATTGACCAAGCTTGACAGCATTGTACTTCCCACTGGGAGAGACGACAATAGCAGGATCAAACTCTGTTATCTTCTTGGATGACTTGAGATTTATACTTATATCCTTGGGGTAGAAGTCCTTCACCAGACAAGCAACATTTGTTCCATTTTTCATGACGAAAACGGATGGTTTGGTAGGAGGTTGAATTTCTGCAAATATAATCAACCTACTAGGTGACATGATTTATTCACAACTTTATAGGGGTTAAACAGTGGCGATTTCCTCGATTACCCTGGAGCCAAACACTGCAATCCAGACCTCCATGCATCCTGTTAGTGATCTGGCTTATTAGCACCTCTGTGAAAGGATGGGGAAGGGGAACACAAATGAAAGGCAGTAAGTTTGACTTTGAGTTAGGAGCTGCTAGGATATGGGGCTGGAAGCAGAGATGGAACATAACAACTACAAAGAAGTTTCTGGATTACATGGGTTTCCATTATCTCTCTCTCTCTCTCTCTCTCTCTCTCTCTCTCTCTCTCTCTCTGTGTGTGTGTGTGTGTGTGTGTGTATTTCTTTTTTTTTGAGATGGAGTTTCACTCTTCTTGCCCAGACTGGAGTGCAATGGCGTGATCTTGGCTCACCACCACCTCTGCCTCCCGGGTTCCAGTGATCCTCCTGCCTCAGCCTCCTGAGTAGCTGGGATTACAGGCATGCATCATCACACCCAGCTCATTTTTTGTATTTTTAGTAGAGATGGGGTTTCTCCATGTTGGTCATACTGGTCTCAAACTCCTGACCTCAGGTGATCAGCCCACCTCGGCTTCCCAAAGTGCTGGAATTACAGGCGTGATTCACCACACTTGGCCCATTACCTGTGTTTTATTAATCAGTCCTCTAGACAATCTAGGTCAGACTGACTGTCTGTCTGTACCAGTGGTTTTTGTGAATGCATGGGCCCTTTGATGGTGGATCAGGGCAGGTGCTCATGCTCTGCATTCTGTCACTTAAGGAATCGAGAGTCTGAGAAGTAGTGCATGACTGGCTCAGAGGCTCTGAGGCAGTGTTGGGGTCATGGAAGGATGCCAGCCCCATTTTATGGACTCGAAGGATCTGCTGAAGTTAGGTGGTGCATGTTTCTGCCTTTAGGTTAATACTCATTCGTCTATGGGGGACTGACTACTATATAGTTTTCTTTGAGTCTTTAATCAGAGGATAACAACAATCATTTCAGGAAGTCCTTAAAGGAATAAAACCAATTTAAGCCTGTTTCTTCTTGTTTTAGTCTAAGAGGAACTATGGAATGTTGGTCCCAGGGTTGGGTCCCCTCCTGGCCTTCTCTTCTTTTGTGCCTCACTTTGGACTGCCACCCTGCCCATGCATCTTTTTCTTTCCTTGAAACCACAAGTCTTGAAGCGTTGAGAGAGGTAGTGATGATTCTTTCACACAGTGTCTCACTGAAGTTTTTGAATCATGATAAATGTTGTGTCCACAGAGACTTAGATTCTTAGGCTATCTTCAAATAACCACTAAAGAAAGAGCCTTCCTAATACCTGAAATGGAGAAAGACAACCAACCTGTGAATGATGATTTATGTATATTTTCAATCCTAAATTTAATGCTGACTTTCAATATTAATTACTCCTGTAAATTTTACCCTTGGTATTTGAAACTTCGGTGAATTTGGTTTCTTGATTTTAAATAAAAAATATGTTGAATTCCAGCATACTTTTATCTACTATGGTCTACAGGCAAGACATTAGGTTTTGCTGAAAAAAAAAGTTGGTAATTGAATGTGTAAATGGAAAATAAGTAAGTTTTCATTTTTTTTTTGAGACAGGGTGTTGCTCTGTGACCTAGGCTGGAATGAAGTGGCCTAGTCACAACTCATTGCAACTTCCGCCTCCCAACTCAAACTCTCCTCCAGCCTCAGTCTCCCAAGTAGCTGGGATCACAGGTGCATACTACCACACCTGGCTAATTTGTTGTATGAAAATAAGTAATTTTTCTAATGCTTTATCCTGAATCTGGATTTGAGCTTCAACTGTGAGGTTCACAGCAGTAGAGCTACTGCCAAGTCAACTGGTTATATGTGCTTGAGAGGGAGCGATTGCTAGTCAGGAAGTTCCTGTTGATCACAGCTTTGTAAATACACCAAAGTTCATCAGGGCTTTCCTAGGAAATCAAATATTCAGAGAAACCCCCTCATCACTACCATCATCATTCTCCGTCTTTCCTGTGCTGAGAAGCCGAGCTGAAAGACTGATTCTGTTTCAGTCACCCAGGGCAGGAAACTCATTCCTAAGAACCTGCTTCCTTAAGTTTTTGGCTTTAGCTCTAGACAACTGAGAGGATTAGAAATTTTTCAAAGGGCTTTTTGGAAACCTACTTTCAACCTGCTTGAGAAAACTTCCCCTGTTTGGTTTCCTTGCATAGCTGAAGCCACTGATAACAGAAACTGATAACTTAGCGGTAACGGCTGGAAACCACACGCACTGCTCACTTCCTCCCTTTACAACTGCGACACTTCTTGCTCACTCTCTTGACTTTGGTTTGAGATGTACTCTGGCTGACTTTCAAGGGAATTGAAAGTTACAAAGGAAACTTGTCCATAAAATAAACACCCTATCTCCTTGCTTATTTAAGAGTATCCCTTAATCCTAGTCTGATTTAGTTGGACAATTAAAGCTCGCTAGAATTTTGAAACCTAAATTCATCAGGCAGTTGTCAAATGATCACTTTGGTTGGGAGAGATTGAGTTTGAGTAATTTGAATAATACAATACAACTAAAAAGACAGATGTCTGAAGAAGGTCATGCACTTATGATATTGTGCTCCGAATCTATTAGTCAGCATTTCAGAGAGAGCATAACGCATTGCTTTGATAAAACGTTTTTCTGAATCCCTCTTTCTACATTAATGTCCATATTTTCAAAAAGATTGTTTGAAAGAAAAGCGTCTTATCGAATCCATTCTTTGGCATCTTGGTAACCAAAGAAAAAGGTATCTGACTGAATTAAACCTTTATAAAAACTAGAATGCACTCAATATAGTTGCCATATGCATGCCAGTCTATTTTTGTATTTGACTTCAACCTAAATGTGAAGCTGTATCGAATTGTAGTCCAAAACTTAGATTAAAGATTTGTTTACCTTTGAAGAATTTGTAGTCTTTTTTTCTTGGTCCACAAATACAATTACATTGCAACATGTGTTTTAAGTGCTATTTCTTTGGAAATTGTTTTACTTTCAGACTTTCTCTTTTTCTGAACACCAATATATTACTAAGGTTATGTGCTGGTAAACAATACCAAAAAAGTGTATACCACTCCTGAATAGTCTTTCTTAATTTATAAACTTAGAAATCATCTATGTTTTCGATTCACACAGAGAGTCCTACTGATGCCCTAAGATTACAACATCTGTAATAAATGTTACTCAGAATTTCAAGAATTTCTGCCAATATAGAATTTAACTTAAACGCTGAAATAAAGGTTTATTCTACCTAATGACTCTGACCATGCTAACTACTTTTCTCCAGAATCTTCCAAGCTACAGGACATTTGTTTTCAGTTTGCAAGGAGGCATGTATACTAGTTAGCTTAGCCAAAGGGATGTGCAGAGACGAAGCAGCTTCCTGAGGAATTGGGGCCAAAGTATCCCAGCCACTGTCTCCCCTGCACCTGAATGCTCCAACTCTTAGTGTAGGTCTTCTAGATTTCTTTGTGTTTTTTGGGCTGCTCTGAAGATTCCATAAATAAATGGGAGCTATTGTTTTTATATACAGACTATATAGTATATATGCTGTATAGCTTGAGTATATATATTTTAATAGCTTGAGTATATATATTTCAAAATAAAAGGAGTTACAGAGCCACTTCAGTGACTCAGTCTAGTGTGTTCACTCTGGCCTGCTTCACATCTGTACCACTTTATCTACTTGTTATGGTTTAATCTACTAGTTATAATTTATAATGCAAACTGGATTATAGCCTCAGTGCCAGGACTCAAATCATCCCTAAAAATATAGGAAAAAGATCAACTCACGGGGCTCCACGAAGAGTTTGGTGCCAGTTCCGAAAAACATCTGTCGGGTGTCCCAGGAGCACATTATGACAGTGCCTCACAGGTAACTAGCCTGGAGCTGGCCCTAGGCCTGGGCTGTAACACCTGTGCCCTGCCCTACCCAGCCTCAGGTCTCAGCCTAAAGACCCCACAGCTCAGAGAACTACAAAGCTGCCCTTGATGAGACCAAGGGGCTGAGTGCAGATCTAAGTCTCAGATCTCTTTGAAGCTAGTAATAGGTGAACTGCTGGATAGAGACATGAAGGTGAAGTCCCCATCCAAGAGATACTAGGCAGGGCTGAGACAGAGCAAGAGAGGAGGGTGATGGTGACCAATAGCTGCCTTCATGTTGGAAAATCTAACTCCCAGTTTGTTAAGAGGGCCATCCAAGAAGAACACAATAGCTTGAGCATAGGCACGGGGCACTCAGCTTGACATTTCTCACAACAAATGTTAGGCTGAGGAGAGAAGGGTTATGGAAACAGGTCCCATACTTATACTCTGTTTCCATTCTCTTGGGTCATGAGTGCTGATTTTTGATTAGAAATCTAATTTCCCCCCATCACTCAGACTGAGTCTCACGATAATAATGAACCTGATTTCTAATTCCCTGTGCTTGGTGAAAGGCTTTCTAAGGATCTGAGGGCGGAACAAGAAATTGGTCACTGCTGGGGGAGCCCAATGGTGCTGTGTGTCATGGATGCAAATCAGAGAAGCCAGTGCTTGCTTTGAATTGCTTATTTTGTTTTATAATTTCTCCTAACTCTGGATCCAGATACAAGTCTCAGGAGTATATAGTCATCATGTGAAATATAACTTAAAGACCATATGAATCACTCTGCCTCATCACCAAAAAAATCAAGTTCCTTGGGCTAGAGCTAGGTAAAAAGAGAATGACGATTGTGTAGGGCCATTATTCATTGTCAAAACTTTAAAGACTTGGGGCTTGATTTAAAAATTTTCACATCCTCTACCTGAGCTTCACATCATCATATTACATTTCATCTCTGCAGGAGAAGAAAACCAGAGAACTAAATGGAGTCTCATTGGGGAGCATGGTCAGCGTCCCGGCAGAGGGGCCAAGCATCAGTTTCATCAATTTCCTTCTTTCCTAAGACTCCCAAAGGCACAACCTCAAAGAATTGATT